TGGAGGACTTGCAGGTGAGACCCGCACCGGCCAGGGTGGGGCCGGGCCGGGCCGGGCCGCGGTGATTTAGGACTCTGGCAGGAAGCAGGGTGACGAATATGGGATCCCAACTTTTCTCCAGCCTGCCACTTGTCACTCCTGATTCGGAGGATGCGTCCCACGTCCTGGGTTAGACGCTACCTGGCCATCAAGGCGGCTGGGGACAGACTGTGCGCCGAGCCTGGGTGGCGGCAGCCCTGTGCGGAGTAAATGGCACGGGGTAGAGCCGCTTCCTCTGTCTCTGTCTCTCTCTGTCTCTCTCTGTCTCTCTCTGTCTCTCTCTGTCTCTCTCTCTCTCTCTGTCTCTCTGTCTCTCTCTGTCTCTCTCTCTCTCTCTCTCTCTCTCTCTCTCTCTCTCTCTCTCTCGGGTGGGCCACGTAGGGCATCTGTGCCCAGTCCCCGTCTGCTGGGGCAGCCTGTGCCTGGAGCGAAGAGAAGCAGAGGAGTTGCCTAAGGTTCGCAGAGCCCAGATCGGCGGCACAGATGGTGCGGAGCCTCGGCAGATCCTGGTCCTGCTCGTCCTGCTCGTCCCGCCCCAGGCGACGGTGGTGCGCGTCGGGCGGAGCAGGCTGTACAGGAACAAGGGACAGCGGGGTCTTGGGAAGCAAAAGGACACTAGGTCCACAGGCGCCCTTACCACCGCTTCTCCTGTTTGCAGGCCATGGATGAATCGGGAATGATCCTCCTGGACCAGTCTGTGATCAAGAAAGGTAAAGAATGGCGTGCTTATGCCAGGGCAGAATGGGGTGAGAGGGTGCAGGCCCTGGGCGCACAGGCTCATTTTCTTCCCCCCTGGAGCGTGCCTCCTCTGCGTCAGCGTCACCCCGGTCGGTGGCCACCGGTCACTCTTCCTGGCCCAGTAGAGGGGCAGTGGAGGCTGGGGGTCCTGGCCAGAACCTGGGCAGCTGCGCAGGTTAGTGAGTTGGCCCCAGAGCCTGCGGCCTGGGGTGGGCTGAGCCCATCACAGCGCTCACCCAACCTCCCGGGCCAGTCAAGCTGCACAGGGGCCTGGCCTCTCCCTACTGAGGGGAGGGCACTCCTGTGGAACTGGAGTTAATTTGCAGAACGAGTTAAACCACTTCCCTGTTTCCTAAGAGGTGAGAATGGGGGTGCCACTCCCACGAATTTCGTTAAATGATTTCCACATTACAGAGCCTGGCAAGTGCTTTCTGCCCCTTCCTTTCCAGCAGGGCCTTGGTGGGTGATGAGAGGTGGGGGAGTGGGGAGCGGTGGTAAAGCTCAGGTTTCCCTGGGGAATTTTCTCTCCAAGCGGGAGCCTCTTTCGGCATTTAGGATTAAGGGACCTAGTATGTGAATATCCTATGTTAGGCTGTGAATATCCTATGTTAGGCTGCTCCTGCGTGTCTATGTGAGTTCGGGTCTTGTACATGTCTTGTATGTTCCTTTCCTAGGTGTCTTTCTGGTATTTCTGGGTATAAGTGTTTCTGTCACTGTGAGTGTGTGGTGCGTTTCTATTATGTTGGTGGACATTTTTGAGTGGTTGGGGATCTCTGTGTGTGTATCACGGTATCTGTTGTGTCCCAGAATTTGATCTTTAGTACTGAGGGTCTCTAAGTATGTGAGGGTCACTTCCTGTGTATTTTGGGGGAGGGGGGGTGTTTGCCTCTCTGTACTAGTAAAAGCCAAGGGTTTGAAACGTGCCCCTCAAGTGAATTTTCTGGCTTGAGTACCGAGTTCTGGCTGTGCCAGGAAAAGGTGAGAGTCAGAGAAAGACAGAGACAGGGATTCGGAGGGGTCCAGGCCTTGGGAGGGTTCCTTAGATTTGAGGTGGGTGCAAGAGTCTGGAGGAATAGACAACTCTGAGGAGCAGGTGCACCTGCTCCTGTGGGATTTGGCTCGAGTTGTTTTCCAAGGCTGAATTCAAACCCGGGCTCTGTTTGCCCTCCACCTGCTACCAGCAGAAGCTGGGGGTGGAGGTTGAGGTCGGGGAAAGGGCTGGACTTCCAGGAACGAGGACTGTGTTACCAGGGGCTGAGAGTTAGTTGGCCTGCCTGAAGTGTGTGTGGGGAAGCTGAGGGGACAGGCCTCCTGGAACTTGGGGGAGGGCTGCAGGTATTGGGGCGGTGTCACCTGGAGCTGGGGTTTGGGAGGACTCTGGAAACTTGGCTGCCTGAAGTCCAGATGGAGGTGTGCGCTGGGGACCCAGCTCTTTGGGGCAGACGCTGCGTTGGCTTAGTGGACTTTTTTGAACCACTCAGAAGGAAGAGCTCTGTCAACCCAGATATATGATCATGGTTGTGGCCCCCAGTTCCTGACTTCTGCCGGGGCTGGAGGAGCTGGGGTTCCTAGGCTCACTGACTCTGGTGGGGGCGGGGAGCCAGCACCCTGCATTTTGGGAAGGGACCTCTGCTCTGGGAGAGAGCAGAAAGATCAGCTGGTGCTCTGAGTACCTTAATCCCCAACCCGCAGACCAGATACAGGACAGGACGACTGGCTGTGAGGAGGGACTGGAATTGCCCGGGAATTGGTTTCTCTCAGCTTCCATAAATCCCAGGTCCTAGGTGTGCGCCGGAATCCCCAGAGGCGGTTCCAAGGACACGAGGAGCGTGGCCGCGACTGCCCAAAGTGCTGCTGTGCTGGCCAGAGCGGGCGGGTGGACGTGGGGGGCAGGCAGGTGAGGTTGCGGGTGCGGCGCGACGGGCGCGCACCGCCGCAGCGTCGCGGTGTCAGCGGGTCGGTGGCTGCGGGCGCCGGGTATTGCGCCGTGGGCACCCCACCCTGGACGTCAAGTCACGGCCCGGAGCCCTGTGAAAAAGGTGGGGAGGGAGAGCCCGGGGCTCCCTGCGGAAAGGAAGTGCGGGGTCCGGAGCGCAGAGCTCGGCCTTCCCCGGGCGCAGCGGGCCCTCGGGGCGGAGACGGGGCGCGGGGCGCTGTGTCCAGGCTTCGCGAGCGCGGAGGCAGCGAGAATCCCCGGAGGTCCCGGCCGAGGGCCGGCGCTTCGGCCGAACCCGTGATCCCGCCGGGGCCCCGCTCGCAGCGGGCGGTTTTCCCCGGGCTCTCCGCTGTCACTGCGGGACTCCGGTCACGCCACCGGCTCCGTGCGCCCTGCTCCTCCCGGAGGCGTCCTCTGCCCCCTGTCGGCAGCGGTGGGGACCTCGTTGCGGGCCGGGCCCGGGACGAACGGGAAGTCGTCCCCGGCTGGGTGCAGCACCCCGTTCCTCCAGCTCCCGGCGCTGGCGCGCGGCGGGGCGCGGAGGGCTATCGGGGCCCTGGGTTCGAGAGGGAGGCGGCTTCCGCCGCATCCCAGGAGCGGCGCGGCCTTCCTAGCGTGGGTGCCGCCGGGGAGGAGAGCCTGGAAGTTGTCGGGGCGAAGCTCCGGCCCCACCCCCACTTCCAGCTGGGCCGGCCCTGCAGCCCCGGCGTGGGTTAGAGGATGGCAGATGGGCCGCAGGCCAACCCGAGGGGAAGCAGGGAGCCCTGCCTTTTCTGCCCACATTTTGTCCCCTCCAATTTTGCTACCTGTCCTAGGGGCACAGAAAGCAGGCGGGACTGGTGAGGAAGACAGACCTGGACAGGAATATTTTCCAGCTGAGAAAGGCCGGGCAGGGCCTGTATGGGTCGAGGTGGGAGCTCGGAAGAGGAGCGGTGAGTGTCTGAGGCTGGGAGGCGACATCAGGAAGGAGCTCCCTAGGCGCCCAGCGGGTGCTTGTTGAGCGAATGACGGATGGGTTTTGAAGTCTGAGCGCACTGAGAGAGGGGGTGTAGAAAGGGCCCAGCTGCTTTCACCGCACAAGGTGCAGCTTGTGCAAATGCCCTGTCTGTGGAAAAGCCGGACAGGTTAGAAAGGTTAGAAATCTCTGTGGGTTTCAGTTTATCCTGTCACAGCTGGAGGTGCGTGGTTTGGGGATGACAAGTGAGAGGGTCCTTCCCTCCAAGGAGAGTTGGCTGGCTAATTGGGGGTGGGGAATCCCTCTCTGCTGGGCTCCATTGTCCAAACTCAGGGCGTCTCTGGGGCAGACAAGGGCTGATGTAAATAGTCACCCTCTCCTCTGCTCCCCTCGGCTCTGGGGAAGGAAAAGGGAGATGGGAAGGGTCTGGGCTTCCAACTGAATCTCCAAGCGGGGCTAGGCCTAAGGTGGGGTACTCATCCCTGAGATAAGATTTAGATACATAATATATTTTAATGCATTATTTTAAAATAAAAATAATGCAAAAAATCCACGATATACAAAACATCAAAATTTTACATAAAAACAGAATCTGACCCTGCACTTGCCCAACCCCGCATCGCTTGCCTCCCAGACAGGCCACTGTCTGCCCCCCC